TATTGTGAATTGTGCTGCTATAAACATTGATGTGGCTGTGTCCCTGTAGTATGCTATTTTTAAGTCCTTTGGGTATAGTCCAAGAAGAGGGATAGCTGGGTCAAATGGTTGTTCCATTCCCAGATTTCCAAGGAATCTCCATACTGCTTTCCATATTGGCTGCACCAATTTGCAGTCCCACCAGCAATGTATGAGTATATCTATTCCCCACATCCTCGCCAACACTTATTGTTGTTTGTCTTCAAAGCATCTCTTAACAAATACAAAAAGGTAGAGATACTACCATGCATTTTATCAGATCATAATGGAATTAAATTGGAAATCAATGACAAAATAAAAAATAAAAATTTCTCCATCACCTGGGGACTAAAAATATGCTACTGAATGAACAATGGGTTAGAGAAGACATCAAGGAGGAGATTAAAAAATTCTTACAAGTATATGAGAACATAGACACAGTATATTGAAATCTCTGGGATACTATGAAAGCAGTACTAAGAGGAAAATTCATTGCATGGAGTTCATTCCTTAAAGAAGAAAAATTCAACAAATAAATGACCTCATGCTACATCCCAAAGCACTAGAAAAAGAAGAACMAATCAGCAGCAAAAGCAGAAGAAGGCAAAAAATAATTAAAATTAGAGCTGAAGTCAATAAATTTGAAACAAAAGAAACAATTGAAAAAAATGACAAAACAAAAAGTTGGTTCCTTGAAAAAATAAAATTGACAGATCCTTAGCCATGCTAATGAAGAGAAGGAGAGAGAGAACTCAAATTACTAACATATGTGATGAAAAAGGTAATATCACAACAGACACTACAGAARTACAGAGGGTAATTAGAAATTATTTTGAAATCTTATACTCCAATAAAATARAAGACATTGAAGGCATCAACAAATTTCTTAAGTCATATAATTTGCCCAGTTGAGTCAGAAAGATATACACAATTTAAACAGACCAATAGAAGAAGCCATCAGAATCTTACCAACCAAGAAAAGSCCAGGATCAGATGGATACATAGCTTAGCATCATATTCTCCAGCTCCATCCATTTACCTGCAAATGCCAAATTTTAATTCTTTWTTTTTAAGGCGAAGTAATATTCCATTGTGTGTCTGTACCACATTTTCCTTATCCATTCATCTGTAGAAGGGCATCTACCGTTGGTTCCATAGTTTAGCTATTGTGAATTTAGCTAAATTTGTATGTGGATAAATCACC